ACAAAGAGTTATTTCCAGCTTCTTACAGATAATAGATTTTACTAATAAATATTACCAAACATCATAATTAAAAAAAAACAGGATAAAACTTGTTGCCACATATGAAGAGCAAAGAAGAAATTTCCATATATAAAGTGGTCTTACTGATAAATAAGAAAAAGGTCAGCATTCTTTATTAGGACTATTTTTAACTTCAAGGACAGAAAGTCAATAAACAAAGATATCCACATTTAAAAATATTGTTGTGAGGCAGGAGAATTTCCATGAGTTTGAGGTCATCCTGTATTATATAGTAAGTTTCAGAGCAGCTTGCTCTCTTACTACAGAGAGAGACCCTATGTCACCCATCTCTCACTAAAAACTAAAACATTGATATATTATTAACCTCTCCAGTCAACAAATAGTTAAAAATTACAGTAATACCTAATATACACATTACCACACATTGTTCATGAATGTTCAGTAAAATATTTCTGGAGAACAATTTAATGAATTATATGAAAATTAGAGTAAGATGATATTTGATTCATAAATTTCATTTCTAAGATTTTTAACTTGACATAATCAGGTACACAGAGATATATATGCATATATCAATGAGATTTGATTAAATAAAATATCACATGTTCATGCAATGGAATGCTATTATTGTACCTGTTAGGAGACTTTCAAATGTAAGATGGGTAGAAAGGCATAAACCAAAAGGAGATCTATTATCTAATGTTTCAAAGAATCTTAATACAGGGTGGCTCCAGTGTAGGGACATCTATGATTCAATCATATCGTCAGGGACCTAGTTTTCTTGAGTATCTGCTCTGCCATGTTGTAACTACCTTTTCTTTTGATCAAATTCAATAAATATGTAGATACACTGATTGACTGGAGTTATATAGTAATTAACAAAGACAGACACAGTATCTGACCTCATGTATTTATAGAATATACAGTATAGAAAAAAACCAACAGTATAATGTTACATGAACCATTTGTATGAGATTCATCTATATGCAAATATAATTCCTATCATTTTAGGACTATTATGACCAAGTGCTTTTATATGAATTGTCTCTTTTCATCCTTACAACAACTTTATGATTTAAATACCATCATCCAGTTTTATATATGTGTGAAATAGGACTCAGAGGTACTGAATTGCAGTTAATTTCTGGTAGAGTCATAATTTTAACCTATATTTGTCATACTAAAAAAATCCTTACTCTTATTCTTTTGTTAAACAAGATGGAAGACAAATTTTAAATATATCTAATAAAATAACCAAAAATTAACATTTACTTGGGAGTTAATAATTAAATACAGTTGCCTACAAGAGCCAATAAAGGAGGAAGAGAAACAAAGGCCTATATTGATAAATTAGTAGTGAGCCATGGTTAATAGCCTAAAGTTATTACAGAAGTTTAAAACATGTCTTTTAGGAGAAAGTGACAACCAGATCTTGTAATTGGAGAATTCCAGATGCTGCAGAACCAGAATCATGTGTGTGTGTTTTCTGGAAGAGTTAAGGTCATTGGTGAAGAAAATTCGATTACTATTTTTATAGGACTCACAGTTGGGCAGACAAGATGATGGAGAGGCTTGTAGTCTCATTAAGAAATGTAATATTTATTTCAATTTCATTAAAAATTTGATGAGAAATCAAGGGTATTTTGTAATTTGGGTGAAGAATGACTTGATCTGTCATGGTGTGATAATATGACTGCATATTTTGGAAATATGTCATAGATATGTGAAGTAGGGAGAAGGGAGTAGCAGAAGTAGGGAGAAGGATAAAATTTTGAAGTAGTTCAAGTAAGAGTCAATAAGGGCTTGGACAATAAATGATAGCAATGAAGATGTTCCCCCATCTTCAGAACCTCCAAAGGTTCTGAGTTGAGAAAAATATGTCTGTGTGTCTTAAGCAAATTAACTGCATTAGTTTGATACTTAAACAAATGGCCTGAATTACTTTGCAAAGTAGAGAGTGATTGAAGTCATGAGAATGGATTAAATTGTCTGGAAAGGAGAGATTTTGAAGAATATTGAAGAGTATTATCTTTCCACACTAATTTCCTGAGAGGCTTAGTGATTACAGAAGCCTCTACCAACAAATCCTATGACTACGATTTATTTTCTTTTTTTTTTTCCTAAACCCACTGCTGCATTATGACATTAACATCTACTCCTTTCTGTGAAAAGTATCTCCAGGATTTCCATGATCTTCTACATCAGTGGTTCTCAACCTTCCAAATGCTGTGAGCCTTAATACAGTTCCTCATGTTGTGGCGATCCCAACCATAAAATTGTTTTTGTTGCTACTTCATAACTGTAATTTTGCTACTGTTATGAATCATAAAGTAAACATTTGATATGCAGGATATCTGACGATACAATCCCTGTGAAAAAGTCATTCACCTCCGCCCCACAGGTTGAGAACCACTGTTCTAGAGTTTGTTTCCCTTTTCTGTATTCCAGAATCTTTCTTGTTCTTCAGGCAAGGCTATAGAGCAAGACTTTGAGCTGTCTGTCAGTAATGATATCTGGAGGGATGTGTTCCTTAGGAGCTGTAAGCTCTTTAAAAAAAAAAAAGGAAGCTGCTAGCCCTATAACTTGATAGATGTGAAAAGCAATCCATACAGCTATCTCAGAAAACAATTACAAACAAGGGTAGAGCAAGCACAAAAGCCCTGAGGTGGGAATCCTCTTGACATGTTTGAGGACCAAAAAAGAAGGGGCTGGAGAGATAGCTCCCCTCTTAAGCTTTTGTAGAGGACTGGAGTTCAGTCCCTATACCATGTGGATCACAACTGCCTATAACTCCAGCCCCAGGTAATCTGTTGATTTCTGGCCTCTGAGGAACAGAACACACACCCTCACATGGACTCACACGTAGACACATAATTTAAAATGCAAAAAGTAATTTAAAATCAAGAACAAGAAAATAAATTGATGAACAAGAGGTCAGCTGTAAGAAATGAGGTTGCAGATGTCATGGGATTTTGTTTTGTTTTTGTTTGGTTTGGTTTGGTGTCTTCAAACAGGGTTTCTCTGTGTAGCCTTGGCTGTCCTGGACCGTGTAAAGCAGGCTGGCCTTGAACTCACAGAGATCCACCTGCCTCTGCCTCCCTAGTGCTGGGATTAAAGGTGTGCACCCCACACTAGGTGGAATGAAATTCATTTTTAAGGATTCTTCTGTAGACTATTGGAAGGACTTTATGTTTTAAACTGAATGAAATTGATAAGCACTGGAAAATTATGGGCAGGTGACTGTTTTCAACTCAAGCTTCATCAGGCACCCTTGAGTTTTGTGGATAATGGACAATGGTAGGGAAGTGGTAGCAAGAGTGGCTGTAGGGAGACACAATAACTCACAATAACTCAGGTGATAAGTGACAGTGGACAACACCAGTGTGTTAACGTTGAAGGTGTTGAAAAGCTGTCATATTGTTATACTCTTATGCCAACATAATTTTCAGATAGAGCAAATGTGGAGTAAGAAAGAGGATGAAAGAAGAATGACTCTAAGCTTTTGGCAGGAATACATAGGAGAAAGTTATCATTTAGCCAAGAGGTTATGTCATGGCTTGAAGTAGAAGATCAGGAGCCTGATTTGGGAGATGTTAAATCTGTGATACTAATGAACAACCATGTGGAGATCACAGGTAAACAGTTGGTTATAAGAGTCTGGAATCCAGACTTCTTTTCTCATTCCTCCCCTTAATTTACTTAAGACTGCAAAAGTTTTAAAACTGTGCTGGGATTAGTTTGCATATGCTAAGATACAGAATTAAATATTTCTCTAATTTTTCTCTCAGATGTGCACTATCACCTTGTAAAATGTGCTAGATGACTATGTTCCAATCTGTTCCCCATCTTGAAATGTTCCTTACATTATAGTGTGCCACAGTCAGATTTGAAAACAAAAACAAAAGAACCAATGAACAACAACAACAAAAAAGGCAATTTAGCTTGGAAAAGACTTTCCAGTGATGACAACAGTTGTAATTAACTACTTCCCTGGTGACAGCATTATAGCTCTTGATTAAAAATTATAATGCTGAAGCTTTAGGCTTTAGAGAGCCAACTTTTTACATAGTGGCTTGTGCTGAAAAGGAAATAGTGATATTTCTGTGGTTTTCAACATGAGACTCACATGCCATTAAAAAATTGTGTCCTCCTTTTGGCTTTCAGATATTGATAGCTATGTTTATGCAAAGTATGTCATATATTGGTATACACTACAGTATCTGATTGGTATCCTTGTTTGTAACAATGAAGGGAAACATTCTAGAAATAGCTACAACACACATGTGGAATCTCAGTCACATGATCAACCATTTTACTAAATACAAGCATATTTTCATTCACATACAGCCAAATAAAGAAATGTTCACATTTCATTACAGTGCACAACAAAGTGAGGAAAAGTATACAGTACATTTTGTTCTGGAATATAAGACAACCTAATCCAACATGCAGTTGTGATCATTGTTACAAGTTAGTTTATCTTTTCTTGTACCTATGTAGTAAAATAGCTTCTAAAGCTTTATCCTTAGTATTATATGAACACTTGATTTTTCACACTTATTTTCTAAAACCCACTTATTACAGTGACAGTAGCACTGAATTCTACTAAAATGATTTTTAAGATTTTTTTCTAGAAATTATTTAAGCAGTTAAGTTCAGCCACCTCTGCTGCATCTATGTTGGGTATTTTGAAACCTGTTTTAAAATGCCAGGAATAGGAAAGTTTATAATGTACTATAGTCAAGAAAACTGTAAAGCTGAGAGCCATGATACACACCTGTAATTCAAGCACTCAGGGAGGCAGAGGCAGTCGGATCTCTATGAGTTCGAGGCCATCCTGGTCTATAAAGTGAGTCCAGGACAGCCAGGGCTACACAGAGAAACCCTGTCTCAAAAAAACAAAACAAAAAAAAAAAGAAAGAAAAAGAATGAAAACTGTAGGCATGTTTTAATTTTATCCCCCCCCCCCCCCCCTTGAGTTGACAAGAATCTAGACAACTCTCATTTATCCACTGGATAATCTTGGTTTTGGAACTATCCAGACATGAGTATAGTTGCTGAGATTTTGTGTTAACCCACAAAAAAGGTTGTTTGTCTTCTACAACCAAAAAGCTGGCAATTTAAAATGTGTGAAATGAATATAGAGTAAATGATCACTTCACCTGTACTTGATGATGTGAATTGGTCCAAGATGATTTGCTCATCAAAGTTGAAGCAAAGGTGGCAGAATGATCTTTCATAACTTTTATTATTTGGTTTATTTTAGTTGAAACAAATTCCCAGATTTTCTGATTCACACATATTCATACTGAACTTGAACAGGATATTGCAAAAATGGTTTGCCATTCTTTCTACCACAGGGTATATGAGAAACTTGACTCTAATCAGAATAGTTTTCTGTGAAAAGTATGGCTTTTGCCTAGCTGAACTGGCTACAGTCCAAAAAGTAATTAAAGCATCACTTCTTTTCAAGAAGATAATGAAATTTTCATGTCACCCATTCTAATTTGCTGATGTTTGTTAGCTGTCTGATCACCTGAGAATTAAGAACTGACTCAGGTAGACAGGAGCCCAGTGTAGATACATAACAGACAGGTGGCCTTGGTTATCGTGGAGTGAGTACTTTATCCCATCCTACTCCCCTTTGTTGTATTTGGTTCCTTTCAAGAAAATATTTATAGTGTTTGTGAGAAGAACATTTAGAACCCACAGTTTTAATGTGTTTTCATTTGTGCAGTTAATTCCTTATTTAATGCCCTTTTGTAAATAACTCCTGAATGGGCTTAACCTTTGATTATTCCTAGAGTCCTTCAGGATTATAGCTGAGCTGTGAAACAAGGAAAACATATCCTATCATGTAGAGAACATTTATTTAGAGTCACATGTCTTCCAAGATTTACAGATTAATCATTTATTCATGTGACAGTGTTATGATCCGGCGGAAAAAAATCTAAGAATCAGGTAGTCTTGGCTCTTGCTTTCTTATTCTGGAAAATAGGGTAAAAAAAAATCTCATAGGCCTATTATGGTGATCAAATAAGTGAAATAAATTAATATGCAGGATTTTTAAGGGTTTCGAGGGCCACACATTGAACAAATACTCAGCATAAAGCCAATGACCAAAGGCTTGACTTAGGGTTTTTTGTAGACAATCTCTGTGTTGTCACTGCAGGGATCTGAAGAAGCAGGCAGTATGCTTACTTCCAGATTATGGTTAGCTGATGCAGTGAAAACCCAGATATAATTTGGCCTTTGAGTTACAATGTTTTCTTCTTCTCCTTACATGGGCATTTTACATGGGACAGTTTCTTTCACACAATTGGTAACTCTAGCACCAGAGTGTACACTTTCTCAAATGTGATAACAACAATGTGTGAATGACTTCCCTTTTCATATTCACAGCAGTTTTACTAGACTGCTCGACCTTGAAAGGGCCTTACCAAATAGCTGATTCATATGGAACTTTCATTTTATAGTTGTATTGTTAGAAATGAGTTAGTGTGTACTGAACCCAGCACATATCTGGCATGGTATTATCACTGAATAAGTTGATACCATACTCTTTTTTTCAGTTATATTAATTGTCCCCAGTTTGATACTTGATTTCCATATACATGTTTCTTTATGGTCACCACCTCTGAAAAGTTGCAATACCAAGAAACAGTTTTTCTGTCTGTGTTTTCCTGGAACCTAACTTTCAAAACTCCAGACCCTTAATATGTGGTCCACAAAGGGCAAACAGAGCAGCCATTGCTGAGCCTGGGCCATAAAACAATTTCTGGTCCAGCCCATGTCAGCACATTAGTCCCTCAGTCACAGCACCCAGGCTCCTTATCTATCCACACATGAGCCTGCCAGAGGTCCACCCCTAGGAAGAAGGCTCATTTGTTATCCAAAGGTTGAGTTCTCTTCAGTCACATAAGAATTCTATTTATTTTGATAACATTTAAGTTCAAGTGGGAGAGTATGTTTTGAAAATGGAAGGGTTAACTAGCACAAACATCTCCTCTCTGATTTGATAACCTCTTCTGAAGAGTGAACCACATTTGGTACAAATCCACTCTTCACCCCTTCCCAACCCTCCTGGATTGTAATCTCCCCCCTTTTAACCAGCTCATATATGTCTCTTGTCAGGTCTGTGAAGGCTTTCTCCACGTTAATGGCATCTCGGGCTGACGTCTCAATGTACTTCATGCCGTATGCAGCAGCCAGTTTCTCGGCCTCGTGGCGAGTCACTTGCCTCTGTGTATCCAGGTCACACTTGTGACCCACCAGAACAAATACAATTTGGTAGGGCTGAACGTGTACTTTGGTCTCTTCTAACCACTCATGGACATTCTGGAAGGACCTGCGGTTGGTAATGTCAAATAAGAGAAGACCACCTACTGAATTCCTGTAGTAGGCTCGAGTGATGGATCTAAAACACAAGAAAGAAGTAAAGAATAAAGTTCGTGCCCAAACTCCTTCACTCCAATGAACTAAGAATATTCTAGTGTTCCTGATTACTGACAGTCCTTTAATAAATACAAATGCCATTCTACAGCAATAATGATACGTTTTCAAATGGGTAAAATGTTAAGATGCCCCTTTCTAGAAATGAATGCTCCTGTACTTTCAGGTGTTTTTTCTTGAACCAGCCATGGGAAGAAACCCTGGGAAGATGGTTGAGTTATAATTTTCACCACAGCTAACTCTCCTACTTCCAAGTCTGAATAACTAAAACCAAATTCTTCTGCAAAATAAGGTATCTGAGTTACAGAGTAACCATAAAGCAAAATGAAATAATGGGCATTCTTTTGATACGGTGAATTTATTACGAGTGCTAGTAGTTTAAAAGAATTATCAAGAATAAGATGAATTTATTATAATCAATAGATTATAACTATAATTGATGGCCTCTGAAAAATATCTTACAAATATTTCATTTTTATATTTATCATTAACCTGTTTTTGTTATTGTTTCTATTACTGCTACGTTTTTTTCCAGCTGGGGCCATCAATCACTTCTGCGAAGAAAAACACTATCTTGTTTTGTATTTCCTAAGCCATGTGGGAATAGGAAAATGGGAATGGTAAAATTCTGGGGCAGAGCTAGAGAGATGACTCAGTAATTAAGAGCATTAACTGCTCATTAATTGATTTCTATCTTCTACATGGCAGATCACAACTGTTTGTAACTCCAGTTTTAGGGGCTCTGACATCATCTTCTGGCCTCCATGGTCAAAAGGCACTCACATGGTTCATAGACACATTTACAGACAAAACACCATACACATACAATAAAATAGTAAATTTAAAAATGTTATGGAGAAAAATGCCTATTAGCTTTACTCACTGGAAAAAAAAATCAAGGAAGCTGACCAAAAAGACACTAGCTAGGAGAATCTGCCAAAATAGTGAACATGTTCCAATAAAGTTGTAATTTATTTGAATCATGTAATTAGGTTATTTCAGCCTACACGGACATTTATTGTACTTCTCAAATAGAAGAAATACCACATATTTTAGTTTCTTAAATTAATGAACCTCATTATAAACATATATTATGGTACTTTGTTTAAGAATATAGGCGCTTATGAGAGGTTGTAGAACATTTTGCCTCTATAATCACTTGCTTTAGACTACTGCAATTTTAAAAATCTATTTCTATTTTAAGGATCTCTGTGTTATTGGATGGATATGATAAATAATGAAGAGCTCTATAGCTAAAAACTTAAGGGAAAATGGCCCAGTTTTAATGGGGGAAATGGCTAGGGAAATACAGCCCAAGCTAGAGGATGGTATGGGTAGGCCTTACAAATGAGTTCAATATCCAGAACCAGGGAGATTAGCCCTGGGAACTGGATATTCCTAATTCCTTTATGTTTGAAGATTTACAGGGAATGATAGTTGTATTAGAAAATGTTTCAATTTGTGAAAATGTCAATTTGAGAAATCAATGAGCAATCTATCAAAGCTCTAGAATATATTTATGCATTAGTTATTTGTATTTAGCACAGAAATTATCAAAGTGTTTTAAGCATAACATAAAGCTACATAGAACTAGACACCTTCCTAAAAAAAAAATCTTAACATAAAAAGATAAATTACAAACTGGGGAAATATCTTATAACATACATGACATATAAAAGGGTTAATATTTTTATTAGACAGAAGTCCAGGCTATATTTCAAGTACTCATTATCCTCTGGCCTCAGCCTTCAGAGGGCCGGAATTATAGGTCTATGCCACCACTGTTGGTGTTCGGGTCATTATTCTTAATCTGTAAAGAAGTCCTACACATCAATACTATATAATACAGAATGGATAGTAAATATGAACAAGCTTTTCATACAGAGATCCCAGCAAACATATACAAGATACCTTTCTTTATTCAGGAGAACTTGTATAAAGTATTTGCCAAAGTTTGTACAAGTGGGAAGTTGGAGGCAACTTAAGTTTGCAATTATTTATTATCCATACATACCCTTCTTCAATTACCTAACTGGTATCTTCTATGCTCAACTAATGTTCAGTGAAGAATGAGTCAGTGAGCATAATTATGGTGTATTGAGTCTTTTGCTTTGGTTCCTGCTGCTCTACCTTACTTCAAATTATTCTCTGTAAAGTTTTTATTAGTTTGTTTTCTGTTACTTCTGTTTTTATTCATGCTGTTTCCCATCTCTGGGTATTTCCTTTCTTTGCTTGGGCTTCATCTTCTCCAGTTAAACTTCTCTCTGTATCCATACATAAAACTACAAATACGTACTACAAAGAAAGAGCAAAGGATTGTGAAAGAAAAAAAAACATACTCTTGATTACCCATTATGTGCCCAGTGGTACAGGAGGGAGTGGCATATAAATACAAACAACAAAACGCTCTTTTATGTGTTGCCTCTGTATCTGTTTCTTCTGATCATGCTAGTACTGAAGTTCTAAGAGGTCAGAGGCTCTATTTACATTATATAGCATTCTCTTATGTGAGTAATCTCACACTATTTCCTCAGAAATGATTCCACTCTCTGGCAACTGAATGCATGGTGGTTACAACAGAGAATCAATTAATCAGCCTCTATTTCTTTTATATTAGGACATGTTCATTCTTTCTCTATCTCTCCCTGTCTTTTTTCTTCCCCCCCCCCCCAAATATAGAGACATAGAAAGAAGTCAATATACATCTATCTAGTCTACCTACCTACCTGGAGCTTTCACTTATGTTAAAATGACTTGGATTTTTTTAAAAGTATGAAACATAGGTTCTGATTTTTGATGAATTATATAGTTATCCAGATTATTTATTACCTACCAAAAAGCAGGTTGATGGAGTTGTGGTTCAAACAATGTGTTAATGAATGGCCTTCCCCTGCCTGGGCGGTTCTTTCCCTGCACTGAACTCCTAGGTAACTCAAAGTGAGCTTGGGAAGCCCCAGACCCTCCGTTGTCACCCTCGCGCATCTCGAAAAGAACCAGGAAGTCCTCTTTCCCCAGGGGCTGAGTAAACCCCGAAGACCCTCCCACTGCTCGCAGGAGCCCGAGCCCGTGCTGCACTCCCACCTGAACCTCTCTTGACCCGCTGTATCCCAGATCTGGAGCTTGATTCGTTTTCCTGGCTCGATCTCCACCAAGCGGGAGAAAAAATCTACCCCCACGGTGGGGTCTGAAACCTGAGCAAAGCGGCCCTCGGTGAAGCGGCGGATCAGGCAGGACTTGCCCACCGTGGAATCGCCGATGACAATGAGCCGGAACTGGTACAGCCAGATGGCCTCCATGGCCGTGGCCTGGCAGGACTCTTCAGCCCAGGCCTGGGGAGGCGGAAGGGGGCGCCCCACCAAGGCCTTAGCGCAGGTCAACCCGTTTCTAGACCGGCCGCATCACTGGCCTGGTAGCCTAAAGGTAGGCCCAGGCGTTGAGGGAGTGGAGGGATGGATGCTACGCTCGCAAAGGTGATGAAATGGCAGCAGCAGCAGCACCACGCACTCTGACTCATCACCAAAAACCGGGTTACTGTAATTCTCCGCGTAGACGCGGCACTAGTTCCACCACATTGTCTGTAAGAAGAGCGCACACAAAAACAGGCGGGAGAATAGATACATCAATCACTTCTTAGATACATCAATCACGCTCCTCTTAATTTAAAATTTTCCCTGCGCTTAAAATTGCAAATATAATTCATTTTCATTAAAGCTAGAAAAACAATACAAAAAGTAAACAAATGGTCGCAATTAAATGACTGCATGTTTCCATGTTCAGAAAATCATGCATATGTAGTGCATTTATTTCTTGTTTCCTTATTTTTTAAAACCATACAAAAATTCACTTTTAATCTGATACTTTTTTTGTGCAAATGACAAAGTATCACAGTCATCTCTCCATTTCCAACTCATTTTCCAAAGAACATCCATAATATTTCCCCTAATAGCTGTCCTATTTAATATTGTAACCAGCAGTATGCAAGGGTTCCCTTTTCTTTACATCCACACAGACACTTGTTATCTTTAGACTTGTCCCCTAGCCCCAACTGGGAGAGCACAACTCAGTCCCCCTATTACCACAAATTATACAGTTAAGTTTCCCAGCATTTGGAGAAATTGCAGTGGGTCAGCACATCTTGAGTGCAATGTATAATAAGCCTTGCCATGGTAAACCAACTTTGTGACCATGGTATCTCTCCTACTGGGTATTTCTTTAGTTTTCTTTGTCTTTTTCTTTTTCTTTTTTGGCAGTTGTTCTTTCTGCCATGGTGAGGTGATATTATTCTATTATGATTTGCATTTTCTTTTTGATTACTGATAATAAATATTTTTCAAACTCCTTTTATGACTGCATATATTCTGAGAAACGGCTGCTTAGATTTAATGCTGATTTTAATTGAGTATTTTATTTTGCTGTTGAGTTTTTTATTTCCTCCTGTGTTTTGAATATCAACTATTTATATGATGTATCTGTTATAAATATTTTTCTTTGCACTCTGTTGAGTGTTTATTTTCTTATGAAACCTCTTTTCAATTTTACATGACTGATTTGTCTGTTTTTATTTTTGTTTCCTCATCTTTTGGAGGCTTTAAAGAAAAACATTGCTCATTACAATGCCCTGAAGTATTTTCTCTGTATTTTCTTCAAGAAGATTAATCATTTCAGGCACTTCATGTCATTATTTAATGCATTTTAAGTTGGTCCCTATAACATTTGAGAAATTGGGGGCCACCTTCATTCTTCTGCATTTGAATATCCAATTTATTTATTTATAACACTATTTATTGAAAAAACTTTTTTTCAGTGTGTGTCTTTACCATCTTTGTCAAAATTATTTGGCTGAAGATGCGTGTATTTCTCAGCTCTCTTATTCTATTGCTGTATGTGTTTGTGCTTATGACAATGGTGTTTTGATTATTACAACTTTTCAAACTGAGCTGTTGGTGTTCTGTTCAGGAAGTTGTCTACTGTATTGAAAGTGGGCTCTTCCTCACTTTCTCTTATAATAGATTTTGTGTATCCAGTTTAAGGTGAGGTCTTTGATCAACTTGGACCTGAGTTTTGTGCAGGGTGATAAGTATGGATTTATTTGCATTCTTCTACCTGCAGGCATTCAGTTAGACCAGCACCATTTGTTAAAGATGCTTTCTGCTTCTTTTTTTCCCCATTCTATAGTTTTGGCTTCTTTGTTAAAACCAAGTGTCCGTAGGTGTGTGGGTTTATTTCTGGGTCTTTAATTCTATTCCATTGATCAACATGTCTGTTTCTACGAATTTATTAATTACGATTGCTCTGTAGTACAGCTTGAAATCAGGGATGGTGATACCTCCAGAAGTTCTTTCATTTTACAGAATTGTTTTAGCTATCTTGGGTCTTTTAAATTTCCATATGAAGTTAATGGTTTTTCTTTCAATGTCTGTAAAGTATTGTGTTGGTATTTTGATGGGAATTGCACTGAATCGGTAGATTGCTTTGGTAACATGACCATTTTTACTGTTAATCCTACTGATCCATGAGCATGGGCGGTCTTTCCATTTTCTAATATCTTCTTCAATTTCTTTCTTCAAAGACTGGAAGTTCTTGTCAAACAGGTCTTTTAATTGCTTTGTTACAGTTATACCAAGATAATTTCTATTATTTGTGGCTATTGTGAAGGATATAGTTTCCTTAATTTCTTTCTGAGCATGTTTGTCTTTTGTATAGAGGAGGGTCATTGATTTTATTTGAGTTAATTTGGTATCCAGCCACTTTGCTGAAGGTGTTTATAAGCTGTAAGAGTTCCCTGGTAGAATTTTTGGGGTTGCTTATGTATGCTAGTATATAATCTGTGAATAGCTTTAACTTCTTTTCAATTTGTATCCCTTTGATCTTTAATTGTCTTAGTACTCTAGCTAGAACTTCAAGTACTATATTGAATAGATATGGAGAGAGTAGGCAGCTTCATCTTGTCCCTGATTTTAGTGGAATTGCGTTGTTTCTCTCCATTTAATTTGGTATTGGCTATAGGCTTGCTGTATATTGCCTTTATTGCGTTTAGGCATGTGCCTTGTATTCCTGATCTCTCTAAGAATTTAAACATGAATGGGTGTTGGATTTTGTCAATGGCTTTTTCAGCATATAATGAAATGATTCTGTGTTTTTTCTCCTTCAGTTTGTTTATATGGTGGATTACACTGATGGATTTTCATATATTGAACCAACCCTCCAACCCTGGGATGAAGCCTACTTGGTCATGGTGGATGTTTTTATGGATTTGGTTTGTGAGTGTTTTATTGTAGAGAAATTTTAATTTAGAACATGGCTTCTCTGGCAAAAGATCACATCCAAAGACCTTCTAGGTCTGTGTGATCCAGCTGGAATTCAAACTTGCCAGGAGACAGAGGCAAGCAGATTTGAGTTCAAGACCAGCCTGGTATAAACATGTTTCAGAAAATCTTAGGTCTAGGTATAGTGGTACTATGCCTTTAATCTCAAACAATGACGGTAAAGATAGTTTGTAGAAAAAGTACCCGTGTTTGAAAGTGATGTCTAATTGAGTGTCAGAAACAGTGACAAATCAGAGAAAGATTTGATAGAGTAGGATACATCCAATTCTTTTTTTTTTATAATCTTTTATTTATTTTTTATTAATTACACTTTATTCATTTTGTATCCCCCCATAAGCCCCTCCCTCCTCCCCTGCCGATCCCACCCTCCCTCCCCTTTCTGCATGCATGCCACTCCCCAAGTCCACTGATAGGGGAGGTTCTCCTCTCCTTTCTGATCTTAGTCTATCAGTTCTCATCAAAAGTGGCTGCATTGTCCTCTACTGTGGCCTGGTAAGGCTGCTCCCCCCCCCAGGGGGAAGTGATCAAAGAGCAGGCCAATCAGATTATGTCAGAGGCAGTCCCTCTTCCCATTACTATGTAACCCACTTGGACACTGAACTGCCATGGGCTACACCTGTGCAGGGGTTCCAGGTCATCTCCACAAATAGTCCTTGGTTGGAGTATGAGTCTCTGGGAAGTTCCCTGTGTTCAAATTATCTTGTTCTGTTGCTCTCCTTGTGGAGTTCCCGTTCCCTCCAGCTCTTACTATTTCCCACTTCTTACATAAAATTCCATTCACTCTGCCCATCAGTTGGCCATCAGGCTCAGCATCTGCTTTGACAGTCTATACTGCAGAAGCTTTCAGAGGCCCTCTGTGGCAGGTTTCAAAGTGGTTTCCTGTTTTCTTCTGGCTTTCAGAGGCCCTCTGTAGCGGGTTCCGAGGTTGTTTCCTATTTTCGTTTTCTTCTGATGTCCATCCTCTTTGCCTTTCAGGATGGGGATTGAACATTTTAGTTAGGGTCCTCTCTTTTGCTTAGTTTGTTTAGATGTACAGCTTTTAGTGGGTTTATTCTATATTGTATGTTTATATGAGTGAGTATATACCGTGAGTGTCTTTTTGCTTCTGGGTCAATTCACTCAGGATGATCCTTTCCAGGTCCCACCATTTACCTGCAAATTTCATGATTTCCTTATTTTTCATTGCTGAGTAATACTCCATTGTATAGATGTACCACAGTTTCTGCATCCATTCTTCAGTTGAGGGGCATCTGGGTTGTTTCCAGCTTCTGGCTATTACAAATAAAGCTGCTACAAACATGGTTGAACAAATGTCCTTGTTGTGTACTTGCGCCTCTTTTGGGTATATGCCTAGGAGTGGTATGGCTGGATCTTGAGGAAGCGCTATTCCTAGTTGTCTGAGAAAGCGCCAGATTGATTTCCAGAGTGGTTGTACCAGTTTACATTCCCACCAGCAGTGGAGAAGCGTTCCCCTTTCTCCACAACCTCTCCAGCATGTGTTGTCCCTTGAGATTTTCATCTTGGCCATTCTGATGGGTGTAAGGTGAAATCTCAGGGTTGTTTTGATTTGCATTTCCCTAATGGCTAATGAGGTTGAGCATTTCTTTAAGTGCTTCTCTGCCATTCGATATTCCTCTGCAGAGAATTCTCTCTTTAGCTCTGTTCCCCATTTTTTAAGTGGATTACTTGGTTTGTTGCTTTTCAGCTTGTTTAGTTCTTTATATATATTGGATATGAGTCCTCTGTCAGATAGAGGGTTGGTGATGATTCTTTCCCAATCTGTAGGCAGTCGCTTTGTTTTGATGACGGTGTCCTTTGCTTTACAGAAGCTTTTCAGTTTCATGAGGTCCCATTTATTGATTGTTGCTCTTAGAGCCTGTGCTGTTGGTGTTCTGTTCAGGAAGTTTTCTCCTGTACCAATGAGTTCTAGGGTATTCCCCACTTTTTTTCCTAGCCGATTTAATGTGTCTGGTTTTATGTTGAGGTCTTTGATCCACTTGGACTTCAGTTTTGTGCAGGGTGATAAGTATGGATCTATTTGCATTTTTCTACATGTAGACATCCAGTTGGACCAGCACCATTTGTTAAAGATGCTATCTTTTTTCCATTGTATGGTTTTGGCATCTTTGTCAAAAATCAGGTGTCCGTAAGTGTGTGGGTTTATTTCTGGGTCT